GCTTTCGCTTTATGGCAATTCAAAAATAAGTAAGGAAATCAATATAGGACTGTATGCTAGCAAGCTTTTTTAGGTCACTCGTGTGAGGATACTCACAATCATCCTGATAATGCAAATTCACCACAATATAACTTATCTGAGTGTTTTTTATTGCGGTACACGATAATATCACATATCGTCCCATCCACAAGCTGCTGATATTTAGGATTGTAAAGTTACAAATATCACTATAGAATATCATATAATCACTTTATAATGTCATGTAATCACTTAATAATATCATATAATCACTATATAATATCATGTAATCACTTAATTATATCATATCATCACTTAATTATATCATATAATCACTTAATAATATCATATAATCACTTTTTTTCAAAACGCTTTTGTTGTCTAGCAGTCATTTTCGTAGCTTACAGACGCAGAACCATGTTGTAATATACAGAACAATATACTATACTATAGTTTTGACTTCAGCTTCTCCTGATCTGAGTCCTGAATGGCATTACTGGATGAATTCATGTTTTTTCACCACCCTTTAACTTGACTCATTTTCTGGCCCTGAGAACTTCTGATGCCACTGGATGCTTTCTGGCTTCTGTCTTACACAGCTGATTGCGAAAAGACACATTGCATTGTGTCGTATCTGTGCTTCCATATGTTTTGTAAAAAGCACAACCTCCTCATTCAGAATAGCTGCCGCTACGGCCCTCTTTGAGTCTGCCCCTTGTTCTAATGTTTGACTCTAGTGTGTGTGTTTTTGTACACACACACACACACACACACACACACACACACACACACACAACATGCTCAGTTAAAATAGTCTTTTCCGTTTTTTGTTATTTCACCCCTGGCAGCATCAGTAAAAATTGTTTCAGGCCCAAAATAATAGCTGGTTTGCACACATATACAAACACATGCTAAGTGGACTACTGTAGGCAATTTTGTGATGACACTAAAACTCAGAATAGCTGCTATCCTCCAACTGTCCAAAAGTCCAAATTACAAAATATTTGTAGTCAATGTGTGAACAAGACAAAATCCATTACTTCAGAAAGCTACATGATGCATTCAAGGATTTTTCTTTTCCTTGTCTTTTCCTCAACAAACACAAACATGCTAGTGTGAGAGAGATTAGGAGAAATAACGCCCCTTCGCTAACCATGGTAACAACACTGGTCAGTTAGTTAAAAGGGACCTCAAGCACAGGTGGCTCACTCTGTTGCATGGCAAGTAATGTGGCTACACAGGTAACTATAGACTCCACAAGAGTTCCTAAATGTCTGGGTACTCTTAACCAGTGAGTGGTTTATAGCTGAGCAATCTTTGACTGCAAATTGGACTCAAATGTTTTATATTAAATGCTTAATACTATATTCAAAGTCATAAAATGTAACCCTTTATCAATTTCCAATTTCTATTCTTATGAAAGCATTGCTTTCCCTATTTCTGTGTGATAAAATCTGTCATATAATGCATGTATCTGTTCTTAATATCTTTTTCTTTTCAGAATTGAACATGGACAACACAACAGCACTAACATTCACAATGACTGCCTACTCTGTCATGGAAAACCACAAATATGGGCTGTTTACTGTATTCCTCCTGCTGTATGTTGTTATTATCACTTTGAATTCACTGCTCATTACTGTCATACACCAAAACAAAGAGTTGCATCAACCTATGAATGTGTTCACATGTATGTTATCCATCAATGAAATGTATGGTAGTACTGCATTGTTACCTGCAATTATGTCTTTGCTTATGTCAGAGACCCATGAAATACCCGTGAAATGGTGTATGACTCAAATCTATTTCCTGCACACATATGCAAGTGCTGAGTTTTGTTTTTTAGCTGTTATGGGATATGACAGATATGTTGCTATCTGTTACCCGCTGCATTATCACAGCATCATGTCTAATTCAAAGATAGGTAAGCTTGTTGCATTAGCAGCTCTATACCCAATGACTGTGTTTGGATGTTTTTACTCACTAACCTTACAGCTCAGCTTCTGTGGAAAAGTCATACCGAAATTATACTGTGTGAACATGGAATTGGTCAAAAACTCATGTTCAAATGCATCGTACATTAGTATTGTGGGACTTGTACTTATTCTGGCTTTGATTGTGCCTCAGGTAGTGATGATTGTTTTCTCTTACGCACAGATTTCAAGAGTGTGTAGGAAATTATCAAGAGAGTCCCAGGGCAAAGCTGTTAAAACATGTATTCCACATTTATTATCTTTGCTAAACTACAGCATTGGTTCCTTTTTTGAGATTATCCAAACTAGATTTAACATGAGTTATGTAACTGCTGGAGCACGAATCTTCCTGTCTTTATACTTTGTCATTATTCAACCAATTGTCAACCCAGTGATATATGGAATTGGCACTCAAATAATAAGAGTCCATATACTGAAACTGTTTATTAGACACAAGATCCCAATCAATTTAGCAACGATTACAGCTTAGACCAACCTATTTTACAATGCAAGGACATTTATAATAATTGTTTGTGTTTCAGAAACTAAGGCCAGAACTTTTAATTATCTGATCATAAAGGATAATATTTAAATTGTATTCAAGTTAATGTGATTAAACAATAATATTTTAGCAGTAATCCTAACAAGGCAAACTGGGTTCCCTTAAATTTTGCTGTCCTTATTCCTGACATTGAATCTTTTTCTATATTTTAAATACGGCTAATGATAAACTTGATTTCAAATTCAAAGCTGTGGATTGAATTTATCAATCATTTTTCTAATTGTTAACAAATTTTTATGGTAGCAAAAACATCCCTGTTTGAGAAATAAGTATAAAGATGTACAATATCTGATATTTCTCTGTACAGGATTACATTGTCTTATTTAACAATTAGGCATAATAATATATTTTAGCC